AATAAATAAATAAATAAATAAAATGCCATTAGTGTGTGTTTTTTGTAAAAAAATAAATAAATAAAATGCCGTTAGTGTGTGTGTTTTTGTAAAAAGAAAAAAAGAAAAAAAAAAAAATTTGTGTTTTTTGTGAAAGATGAAATTGAATTTATAGGACTGGGAGAGTTCGGACGCACTCGGGGGCTAGGCCCCACTTACACGAATTAAGCGATATCGACCGTAGATTGCAAAGATTAACGGCCAGAATCTCTTAATCCGTGCAAGTGGGACCTTGCCCCGGCTGCGTTACGGACGGTATCGCCGTCCGGAAACGGAGGCGCTCTGCGTCAGCAGCAAGGCGCGGGTTACGGGCCGTGGGAGGAGGCCATCTTGTTCGTCAATTCCAAGGTGTTCTCCTTCTTCTGCGTGGTATACTTTTACGATGATTCCCCCTGTGGAATACAAGGGGATAGGGAGAATTCCATCCTCTGACACCTCACTGGGACTAGAGGAGTCACTGCCTGCAGAGTGGTTCGGCGCATGAACTGTTAGACCACGCCCAGCGTGGTGGCGCAACCAGGGATTTTCGTATATTCGTGCGGAGCTGGGGTCCGGGTGTAGACAGGTTTGTTTGGTATGCTCAGAAGGGGAGCACAGTATGGTACATTTCAGAAGTGTACATACCAGCAGTTCGGAAAGCAACAAAAAATGATTTGAGTTGTGTAGCATAATTTTGGATGAGTGTGCGACACTGTCGGGCGCATCGATCCCGCACAGCGACCCTCCCGACCGCGTCACGCAGGATTTTGCAAGACTTGTCGCGGAGAGCGTTTGCCGCTCCGGCCGAGTGCGCTAGCCGTACCTCTCGCGAGCCCCTACGACAGGACAGGGTCACGCGAGGCACCGCTTACCTCCMCCTGCGGGAGCTGTCACCATCCCTTAGGTGGGCGTATCCCCGCCGAGCTACTGAACCACATGCGAAAGCTTTTCGTATGCAATTGCAGAGGTGGCCCAGCCGAGGGCGTTTCTCGCTCGCTGTAGCATAGGGGGTACGCGCGGTCGAATGCCCAAAATCGAACCCGCACGCGAATCGACGCACTGGGGGGCTGAAGTCCCAAGCGTGACCCTACGTCGGTCGACTAGGATGCACCCTACACACCACGCGTTACGCCACAACACTCACACTTACCACGCATAACACATTGACACACACAAAACAACCACTACAAACAACACCACGACACAACAATACTTTTAGTCCCTTCAGTATCCGACCCATAACTCTATGCAGCAAGAATCAGATAGGTATCGCGCGCTGGATTTTTCTTATAAGTACCGAGCGAGCGCATGGCCTCCTCATATCAACCAGCCATGCGGACATACGCAAACACTCACGCTGATGGGGTATTATGTAGTACTCGTAGCCTCGCGGCCCTTGATAATCTCGAGAGTCGCGTTTGACGCTCAAGTGTCGGTTGACAGGCGCTTTGAGGGGTAATCTCTCGACGCCAGACAACCGCCATGTGAGCTTGAAGACCACACCCTCTTCTGCACCCTGTGCAGAGGGGTTGAGTAAACAACTCCAAGCTGTCATGGCGGTCAAATATCAAGGGGGKTGACTTTGACGACTGCCACGGACTACAACGTCCAACCATAATAACTCTAAGAAGCAAAAGGTCAAAGGGGACTTTTTTTCTCTCAGTGCAACACCTACTTAATCACTATACGCGGCCTCAATGGGTCGGGCGAACACAAGAAACATGATATAAAAGTCATGAGATAGAAAACGATCACTCTCACAATCACAATGTGGCTTCCTTCAAATATATATATACACATATAATCATACGCAAAACCAAGTTTGGACTTCAATTCATAGAACATACATGTAATCACATCAAAAATCCACATCAACAGAGCACACACTACACGGGGTCAACTTCAACCATTCTTTGCGCTCACMCCCCTTGCTTTAGCCATACAAGCCTCACTCTTTGCGCAACTTTCAAAATAAAGTACTCAGCATCTTTATTAAATGGCCATTCAATTAAAGTCCGGGTAAAAACACAACCAATAAATCAAACCACACGGCTAAAGTCTTTTAGGTTGAGTGACAAGAGTGAATTAGAGTTGAGCCGGAAACCGACCCGTTATCAAAGGATAACAGAAGGTGATCCCTGTAGGATCAATTTGAAGATAGTCAATCCTTGAATCAATATGAATAAAGGTGACCTGCAATGCAACACAGGCTAGTACCCAAGCCATGCTTGAGTGATCAAGATATAATCCTACCTTCCTAACTAACCTCTAATGTTTATCTAAAAATGTAAGAAATTCCGGCAGTATATCCCCTAAACAGGATGGATTGCCAGATTTCTCCTAACTGAGAATATTCCAACTCCTTAATTTCTGCAAAATTTCGGCAGCGCTTCCTGTAGGAAAAGTGCCTTCCCAAAGTTTCTACGCGTCCAAAAATGACTAACTCTTTCAGATTTGTAGAAATTTCGGCAGCATTTCCCGTAGGAAAAAGAGGCTGCAAAGATTTATACAAAGCTGAAAATAGAAAGACAAAGCGAAACTATACTTGGGACTAACTCCTGACACTTACTTGGAAGGTAGAATCAGTGACAATCTGTACGACCTCTTGATGAGGCTGTGCGATAACACTGATCCTAACTCATAGTAGAGTCAGTCCTATCTTA